GAGTTTACGATCATCTTAATTCAAAACTCAATTTGCAATGTTATGTAATGTCAAATAAAAAAAGAAGATTCGATCCAAAGCAAAATAGTATTAACATATTTTAAATAAATTCCGTATGAAAAATTCATTATATATATAATCGATTCGAAGGTAGCACGATCAAGTCAGATCGATCGAAAATATTTGACATTTAGGTTGTAGAAGGTGAGGTAAAGATTAGAGTGCATCGGCACGTGTGACCTAGCACCTTCACTCAGGTCTCATTTTCGTAAATTCTAACATCAATGACTTCGAGATCACTTTATTCCATTGTGCTAGCTTCCAATCGATATAAATGAATATTCAAATAAAAATTGAAAAGAATTCTTTGCCTTATATTGAAATCAAAATAATAAAAGATAAACAACAAATACTCAAATATAATTCTCAATACGTAACACAAAGAAAAATATTGAAACGTAACTTTCAAATAGATTTTTTTGTTCTTTTGTATTTTATATCAAGGGCAAACACATGATTCAAAGTATATTTAAGTTGAAAAGTATAACGCTAATTTAAGGAAGCACTAAATTTGTGTTATAAAAATTTTATCATAAGATCAATGAATGAATCAAACAAGTTTTTATTTGAATATAAAGAAAAAAAAAGGAATTCAATTAACAAATAAAATGGAAGATCTTAACAAAAACTTCATTTAAAAACAACAAATATACAATGAAAACGTCTAAATGAAACTATTAATTTTTATATTATTTTTATTCATTCAATAAATGAATAATTTAAATATAGCTTTAAATTTAACAGAAATCTCTTTAAAAAGAAACAGAAATTATTGCCATACAATTTGACAAAATGGTGAAAAGCATTCAAAATAATATTATTCGTATCGTTTTTTTTATCGGATTTGTGAGTAAAAATAATTTTGAAATAACTAAAGTTCCGGTGCAAATTAAATGAAACGTAAAAAAAGTCAGAAATTGAAAAAATTCTCCTCCGAATAATATTTGTATTCGCTATTGTCAACAAAAGCAATTTCTTTATATTGATGGCAGAGTATAGTTTGATTGATGGTATGCCATGAATGTAGTTTGCGGAAGAAGGGTGTGTGGGTGTGTGGGTGTCGGTGTGGGTGGGTGTGAGTGTGGGTGTTTCTATAAATAAAGAGAGACAAACACCCACACCCACCCACACCCACACCCACACCCACACCCACACCCACAACCACACACCCACACCCACACACCCACACACCCACACCCAAAAAGAAAAGATGATCGATACTCATCGAGGTACAAGTAAACTCTTACTGAGATACTTGCTGGGACCTAAGCAATCTAGATTATGTGAGTAGAGGCGTTGTTAGCCGTAATTTTGTTTTCATTTAGCAAATAAGATATATCTACTATATTTTTGAGATCAAATAGTAGCATCATAAATAAATACCAGAAGTAACTGAAGGGAAAGAATTAATTTGTCTATGCCTATGAGCAAACCAATGTGTAGATATAATAAAGATTACGACATAATGATTTCAAAGTTCAAAGACAATTGAAATGTCATTTTAGTAAATAGTGCCAATAAGATCAGTCAATTTTTATTTTTAAGGGTAGCGTATGTGGTATTTAGAGCAAAATACAAGAAAAAAAGAAGTTATCAATCATGGCGAAATATTCGATTCGTCATCGCTGTTATTCAACTCTACGATCAGGAAACTCACAATAATATAATGCATCAGTCATAGAATTATGATATAGTGATGATTTGGATTGTAAAGTTTTCTGACTGTGTCCTGCAATCGAAAGCTAAAATTACGAGAGACCCCACATGTAAGTAGCAACATCGTGCGGTACTTCTGCTCAGATACGCAAGCTATATCATCATCCATTTTCTGGTTATTATACTGAGCATAGATGTTATATGTGGTTTTTGTTGTTTCATTTGTGAGCACGTTCTCTAATTAAGCGTGGTCACTTGCATGTGAACAATCTTTTTAAATTGTTCGATAATCGTCTTTCTAAAAGTCTTCAAAAAATCATCTTCGTTTAGGCTATTTAAAAATCAAAATTAATAAAGAATAGCGATCATTTCAGCTGATATTGTGAAAATAGTTCCAATATGGATTTTTTCGTTTAACTTGACTCAGTAAATGCAAATTACAAGACGCACTGACGTATCATGAATAACTTCTGAAGCAGAACGCGAGATTATTACCTGTCATCATTGGGGTGACGTTCTTCCACTTAGCTTTCATCTATTGTGAGAAATTGTGTTGTCTTGATTTTTTAAGCCGTGCTTTTTCTGTGCTCCCGCGTATTCATTTTCAAACAAACTACCGTTTCGGAATTTGTTCAATGGCATTTTCAGGAGAATTGTCAACAGTTGTTGTTCGATTACACTTAGATTCTTTGAAAACAAGAGCTTATTAGTATATTCACGATTTCTTTTTGTAGAAAAAGAAACTCCTTACTAATACCGTATAGCAAGCAGATAGATGATCGCCTATTGTTTTTATGTATTTTCCATTTTTCGAAATTTTCACCATTTTTTCCCGATTTTGAGATCATGTTTAGAAATAGCACGTTTGACAATTATTGTGCTTGCTCCAAGTCGACCTAGAAAGAGCGACTTGGTTTCAAAGCTCTCTCATGGTGTAATTCGAGTATAGCAACTAATTTTCTTCATTAAAACAGCATGTTGACTATTCTCAAATGAATTTTTAGGAATCAAATCAATCAAAAACTAATCAGAAATAACTGACAATAGGATATCTTACAGATTCACTCACTTTTGGACCGCTCATTGCATTTTAATGCAAAACAATATGATATTCATGATTAGCAGTGTCAATAATCTGTAAATCGTCAAATTTTAGAGAAAAAACAACTTGCCCTGAGCAAAAATAATATAATTTTCATCAGAAACATCGAGAAATGAAAACTGGTCCATTAATATTTCACCAATCAAATCATATACATCTTTTTATCCTACTTCTTATTCAAAATTCTCTTTTCATGCAGACTATCAGCTGGATATAAAGTGACTCGTCAAATTTCATTGGTAAAATAAGAATGTGTGGTAGAATAGATGTCAAAACCACTAGATCTCAGAAAGCTCAAATACTTGCAAACCGTTGATAGATTTCATTTTTAAATTAATATTTTCTTAGTGACATGTTTTGCGCAAGAATCTTCAAATATTTCTGTAGATGTGGCTGCCCCGACACATAAGAACACCCACCCACACCCACACTCCAAACAATTGATCGTACTTCATCGATTTTATTTTGTAATCTTATTGAATATGTTGACATTGGAGAAATCATTTCAATTAGATATTCATCTTTCAATCTTTTAAATATTGCAGTGTTCAAATAGTTAACAGTTTTTCAAATGATCTGTTATTTCGAAAGAAGAGAACACAATTGTCATATTTATTACTGGACTTTTAAAGAAAGCATCCAATTTCTCTATTCTTTTTTTTACATCAAGTGTGATTATAATTAGTTTCTTGTAAATCATCACTGTTTCTCTAATATATTTTATACTTTTCCATCTTGCAAGCTTCATAGAGTTTTTTTCGTTGATCATGTTGATTAAAAAAATATTGTAAATTTGGCCAAAAAAAATCATGCTAGCGTCAAAATATTTCCAATATTCATTTCATAGAAATAAGAAAACTTTTTTAAGATAAATTTTCAGTTCTTATCAATTTTATTCAAAAAGCTTGATTCCATTTTATAATATTATTAATGAAATCTTCATTATCATCCAAAGAATGATCTCAATTATCAGTTTTCTGTATTTTATTCCTTGGTGTATTTTCACCATATACTCCTATAAAAATATCCGATAACTCAGTCAAATTTAAATAGAAACCCAAATATTTGACTAAGACGCTGCTTCGTATCTATAGAAAAAAAATCATGGAAATCGAAGGGCAACACCACTGTAGATCATTTCGTAACCTGATCAAAAGAATAAATACTTTGCAAATTATTTCTATCGATGTTTGTCTCATTTTATTTTCTTGTAAAACAAAATATAGAACTCAGTAATTGGAAATATGTATGAAA